TTGTTAAGAATTGTAGGCCATCTCAAAGTTCAGGACATGTATCACAACCTTAGGAGGCCTAATTTTCATATACCAACGGGCCATCTCATTGGCCTATAATCCTGAAGTCCAAAAAAAAAAAGAGAATTTTGTGAGAAGTTTTTTTATTATTTTGGTTGTACAAAGACAATTCTCTCATATTTTTTACCTTACCTTAAATATTTTATGATTTAAACTCAAAATTTTTTCACTTCCAACAATAAAAGATTATTATTAAATTATTTAAATCATTAATGATTTTATTAAAAGTTTAGTTTCAAATATCTCATCAATTGCATTTTTTTTTAATTATTATTTTTTCTTTAAAAAAAAAAAGGGTTTCAGATTGCGGGCCATAAACCATTCCTTACTCTCCTAAGGTTCGAAAACAAGTATCAAATCAACGTTTTCCTTCAAAAAAAGAGTATCAAATCAATGTTTAGTAAAAGATACTGAATCAATGCTTGTATGGTCTTAAAAACACAATACCCTAAAAAAGGCTCTTTTGACCAGCATCTTTCTTTCAAACTTTGGACCAAAACTAATCCATTTTTTTAACTTATTATTATACCAAATTGACCATCTTTTCAATTCGAAACCACACTCGCAAGACATCTTACCGACAAATCAAAACATGTTCTACGTTCTAACTCATAGAAGGAACCCCGAAAAGGGTTCGAACCATTAATTGAGACTAATCTAACTTAAGACTTTTTGAGTCAATGGGGGTTGTTCTCAAATTACAATCCACCATTCTTGAATCAATGCAAAGTGACTTTACTTCAAATGATGCTCTTAAATTTAAAAAAAAAAAAAAAAAATACAAGATCACACTCTTTAAGAAAAACCAAAGAGACCAAACTCATGTATCACACTATACCTAACTATCATCTATGACTAATTCCCCCTATTCCACCACACGTTTCAATGACCTTGCCCTTAGGAGGGTGAAAAATTGAACTACTTTGGCCTTTCGCCCATTGACTCACAAAGAAAGCCTAAGAAACAGAATCAAGATAAGGAAACAAAATGCCATCCACGATATGATTTGACTATATTTTGTCATTGCTTATTCCTATTCTTCTCCCTTACCGGTTTCCTACCTAAATCACCTGGAAATTATAAAGTCATTGACAAGAACAAAGCGATCATTCCCCTTTTTTTTTTTTTTTTTTTTTTCTAACTTGTTTGATTGGGGAACCCTTGTTTTTGAGGTTGGGGGGGCATCTTCTTCTCAATGAGAACATGAATAAAGAGGGATTGTGGGAATGTGAGCTTTCACACTTAGAAAAATGTTAATTAATCATATTAGGTTCCGGTTAGCATGCACATTAGTACAAATTAAGAAATTAACTATATCTGTAATTAGTCAAAACATTTGTAATTAATTGCATGCCTAATCTAAGCTTTATATTATTCAGTCAATTAATCAACGAAAGGACTTTATTGGTTCATGCTAAATCAATGTTGAACAAAGAACAAACAAAGGATGATAGAAAAGTAAAAGAGGGGAAAAAAGAAAAGAATGATAATCTCTTATCCAATGTCATCAAACTTTTGAACTTTGGGAGTTGTTGGTTCAATGCATCAGCATATAAAAAGGATATAAATCCAGACAAACTTTAATGTCTGTTCCATTTTAGAACTTGACACTCGTTTTTCTCATTGCCATTGACTATTTAAGAAAGCTAGCTAGAAGAAAACAAGTGTGAAATCTTCAATTTTTAAGGGTTCATATGATAGATTGAACTAATTGTAGCAAGTTTCTTAAAAGAAACTCTAATCAATTCATAATACCTCCTGCTGCCTAATAACTGTACTATTATAGGATTTTTGAACACAAATTTTTAAGTTTGAAATTTGTCATAGCAAATAGTATTTACACAGGGAATAGTGAGAATAGTGAAATACAATATTTTTTACTAAAAGCTTTTTTTTTATAGTCCAAACTATAAAACATGAGTCATTAGATAAGAAATTTTTAATATCAAGGGACCTACTCTCATCTGAATTGCACGACACTTTCAATAAAAAAACAAGAAAACAATTACTATAAAAAAAATCATAAATCATTCAATATGAGGAAAGCCTCAATATTATCAAACCCATTTTCATCCAATAATTTAAATTATATAGTGTGAACTGCACATTGCACGATCCTTTGTTGTACCAAGAAAATCGCAGCACCAGAAAAATTAAAGAAAAGATTTGTATAATGGTAATCTGGTGAAGGTAGTTTCCTTCTTCCTAGCTAGATCCTTTTCTGGAGCTGACAAATCTTCTCATACAACAAGAGGGAGGCCACTCAAATGTCACACTCATTTGTGACAGGCCACAAAAAAATAAAAATCCCTTACCTACTTCCTCATGTTTCATACGATCTATTTTCAGCAAAATTTCCGTGAATCAATTCTTTCTAGAACTAGTCAATATAATGTTAGATATAATTCTTAATTGTATTAATTTATTTTCAGTGGCTCGAATAAAATACATGGATAACTATTTATCTTACTCGTAAAATTCACAAGTTGAATTCTTCTAATCACAATATAGAATTATCTTCCATGTGTGGCCCATTGGTATAATATTATATATAATCCTTGTGTGATTGAAATTTGAAAATTAGAAGATGACTTTATGATAAATTTTGATTTTTATTTGTTGTGAAAAGACGTCAAAATCATAGACCCTGAAGTATGGTCCAAAGTTCCAAACTGAAAACACCAAAACGAGGAAAAGGAAAACGAAAGTTTAAAAAAGGGGTCCCCAAAAGACGACGAGGACACAAAAATAAACCTCAAAAATACCACATCTCTATTGCAGAGAAATGGCAAGCTCTCCGATCAATTTCACTCAACAAAGCAAGAAAAGGAATCCCTCAACACAACACCAAGTTACTAATTATGACTTCATCCATCTTGTCAAATTGACCATTCTGCCCTCCTTTGGGCACCATTTGTCCTCCACTACTACCCTTTATTAGGAAAGTCATTAGACACCACTACAACAACTGCTTGCCAAGCACATTTCATTTATGGGGGAGCATTTTGTTTCCTTTGACTCTGTTTTTTTTGTTTTGTGCCTTTTTTTTTTCTTTTTTTTCTTTTTTAATAATGGGGATGGTTATTTTGTTTATTGAACTGTTTTTTTTTTTTGTTAAAAAAATATTATATTATTTAAATTATATTAAATTACATAATATTAATTATTATAAAGATTATATTCTCAAATATTAAGAACTCTCTTTTATTTAATAATTTTTATTTTATAATTTAGTACACTTCAAAATATAAGACGGGCCGCCATGATTGATTTTGTTCGAATGAATGAAATTTTTCATTCTCACAAAAAAACGAGTTTCCAATTGCGACTACTTCCACCTAGTCAAATTGACCATTCTGCCCTCCTTAGGACACAATTAGTCCTCTAGTACTACCCTTAATTAGGAAAGATTAGGGCTGGGCATTTGAAACCGAATCAATGGGTTATCT